ATATCAAATTCACTTTTTTACCTACCTTAAATGTCTTATGCTGCTTGTTTAGGCTCTTTCCATCTCAATGGAAATATGTAACTCTAAGGTATGCAATTTTTTTTTACAAGTCAGAGGAAATGAAAACTCAAAGAATATTGGAAATAATATGATGCCAGACATTAGCAACACTACCAACATCCTTCTAGACAAGAATATGAAAATTAGAGAGTTTCACTGAATTTTGTGGGATTTCAGAGGTAAAAATTGGTAGAATAAGGACAGAGAATGCCAGGTAATCTAACTACATATTCCTAATCAGGTAGGTAGATGGATGATATAGATAAGTTGGCATTTAGTAGTTGCATTGGCTTCTCCCATTCTTATATATTTTTTATTTGCGTCCTAGAGTGAATGATAGCTCTAAAAACTAATTTAAGCCTAATCACTGTTGTTCTCTAATGTTTTACTTATAATTAATGTGCTAATTCTTTGGTTTATTCCCTGGGCATTTTCATGATGGGTACAAATTTATAAGGCTCCTGAATAGCTAAATAAATGTTACAGCTGCCTTCTAGCTATCAGGCTGGTTCAGGTAGAATTGAATATCATGTTCCTTAGTAAGTTTTTTGTGCCCAATGGCAAAAAAAAAAAAAAAATCTAAGTAAAGCCAAACTGAGATTTTAGCAATTCCATTTCAAGAATTCCCTGAGGAGCCATTAGCTACAAAGATATGGAAGGCAGGGAGTCTGCCAGGGGAGGGTGACAAGGTGGGGTAGACTCCTGGAGAAGTAAAATGCTTGAATTCACAAGACCTATCTACCTAGCCTGGATGAACAAAAGCACTCTAGAAGGGGGCATTGTGAATTGTGGAGGATAATAATGCTCTTGTTTTTCCAATTCTACTACTGTGGGTTTTCTCCTCCTGCTTAGTTAAATTTTTTTTTTATTTTTTTGAAAGAGAAGCATCAACGGAAGAGTAAAAGTAGTGGCAAAGAATGGTGTGTGTGTGTGTGTGTGTGTGTGTGTGTGTGTGTGTATGTCAGGGGGCAGCAGACTAGGAGAAACTTCATCAAGAATAATGGGAAACAGGACTGTCACAATATGCTGTCTTGCTTTATCAGCACTAGAGAAAATCTGAAAAGCAGAGTTTTTCCTACTTAGTTTTCTTCCCTTTTACCAATCTGTTCCACATTCCTTCATGCTGACCTCATTCATTACTTGACACTGATTGCTGATTGTGTGCATAAAACTATGCTAGGGTGTGGATGTATATATATGAGCCACCTCTTAAAACTAGCAAGAATCCATTGGTAAACAATACGATTTTTTTTTAAATTGTTGGCAGCTTTGAGTTTGTCAGGCAGAAGTATTTATACCACCTGAATAGGCAAATACAGTACATCATTGCTTCTCCATGTTTCCTTTTTAGAGAGCCCGTTTACTAGCATAACTGCTAGTGAGAGTGTGTGATGAAGGCAGTCAGGACATACATATTTCCCGTGCCCATGAGGACTCACAACCTAGGAGGTGAACTAAATTGAGAAAAAAAGAAAACTACAACATAAGGCAACTTCCTTTATAGATAAGCGTCAGTCATGGGTGTGCACCACATGGGGAAATTCTCCTTTAGGTGGTAAATAAGTTATTAGAGTGTCATTAATATTTGAACTTGACCCTTAAAAGCTAGTATGATTTTGGTCCATGGAATTTTAGAAAGGATGAGGATATGGGACTAGTCATGGTCTATGAGAGGAAGGACAAACAAATAGAATCCCTGAGGCAGGAAAAGAAGTATTACAATGACAACTTGTTTGGCAGGCACATGAGTGGTATAGAGGGAGTTTATGGGAAGTTGGAGAAGTAGGTGGAGAGACTTAGCTAATAATATCTATGTAACAAGCGATGACCTTTTATAGTGTTGGCCACCTCATTCATCTTAAATGAGGCAAAGATGGAAATCCATAACTCTGCTATGTGGCGAATGCTGGTCATGAGTTTTTGAACTTGGGATTTTGTTCCTCACTATAAAACACTGATTATATTACCTGTTTTGTAATACTCTAAAGCATTACAAAGAACATGTGAGCTTTAATTTGGGAAATGAGTTGCAAGCTTTAAAAGCTATGATGTAAAAATAAATGTGACATTTATTGAGCACTCTGTGAGTTCCTCTAACTCTCAGGAAAGAACCATGTGAAAATGTTAACAGTGTCAAGATGACCTGGTGCCCATACTTATTTAAGATGTGTCATCACCTCAAAAAGTTTACAGCCAGTTTAGATCTCCAACGCCACTAAAATAAAACAACAAAACACCAATATTAAGGAAACTAGGAAAGAAAGAGAGAGAGAGAGAGAGAGAGAGAGAGAGAGAGAGAGAGAGAGACTATTTTGGGGAAGGATAGATAATCAGTAGAAATGGCACTACTTAACAACTTAGAACTGGTGGAGCAAAAATAAAAATATTTATCTGGTAGAGTCTCCAGGACTTCACACAAGTTTGATGTTTTCCTCCTGAAGTAACATTATCTGGATTTGTAGCGACATGGCCCAATTAAGAGATGCATGAGCTGATAAATATTGTTAAATGAGGGAAGGTTTAATGTAGGGAATTAGCTTTAATCTTGGACTTAAAGCTATAAGTGATGTAGTTTGGAAGATAGAATGTGAAAGGAATTAAATGCTGATAAAATTAGTGATGTGGGAATGATATTCATTGAAGTAAAGTTGCTAGTTCTCATTGACTTGAAGTTTTTTTCATTTTCTTGAAAGAAGTTGAAACAGTGTAATTTATAGTGTCAAAAATGCCCTTCTAAGTGTGCAAAGATTATCCACTAAAAAATCTTTATTTATCCATCCAAAAGCTTCATTTGGGACGTCTTCATTGCACATATGAAGCTAAGTTTGCACATATGGATGAGTTGCGAAGGGCAGAGGCAGGCAATAGGACAGTTGCTCAAAAAACAGCAGGCTCTGGAAGGAGACTCTCTTGGCTTCAATACGTGACTGACCATTTATTAGTCCCATGACCTTGGAAAAGTAATTTAAAATGGTTGGAAGAAGGAGAAAATAATAGTATCTACCAAGTAGGGACATCTTAACAGTTTGAAAAAAAAAATATATATATATATATGGAGCACAGAGAACATGCTAAAAATCACAAATATTTATCAATATTCTAATTCTAGTATGTTTCATGTGTGTTTTAGGCATTGACACAGATATGAATTTAAATAGATCTCTACCTAGTGAAGCTTCTATTATTATATAAAACATTAGTTAACATTACAGTTATTCCTATTGCAATCTTTATTTTTATAAGTAAATATTTATATTTTATAAATAGATTTATATTTTTATCAAGTCTATTTTTAGTAGGTGTTTAAAATTGCAGCTTGAATGGTCAACTAATGCCTTAATTAGAGCAAATAAATATCACTCATTAGTAAACAGAATAAAGGGTAACACTTTGGAAAGCTAGGATATTATAGAAGAAAGTCTAAACAATGCAGAACAAAGCTCTTCTTTATTGTGCCAGAAGCATCTCTTTATCAGAAATTCTATTTGTCTCCACAAGAAATCCTACTTTCAATCTTTATTTTTCTAATAGCTAAAAGTCTGACTAAGGGAAGTCCCACAACATACATAAATAGTTGTAAAAATGTGTGGTTCTTTGTGCTTTATTGGTTCTTGAAATGTGTACAGACTATTAAAGAGGCACAAATAAAGTTCAAAAAAGTTTGGTATAGTAACAAATGGAGACATTGGTTTACCTTTCACTAAATCACAACTGCTACAAAAAGCTAAATAGATGAAATGCCAAAATGTGAAATATATTACTGTTAGTTATCTCAAGGCATATATTTCAGGTTCAATCAAGGAATTGTTACTTATAGTGTTAAGCATGTCTAATATTATTAGGTATAAGAGAGAAGCTCCTTTGTTTTAATGGATCAATTCTATTAGGGAAAGAAAAGGCAAAAAAAAAAAATTTCCAAGTGACTTCACTTCAGAAAGATAACTATAAAAGTCAGTTACTTGCTCTCTGAAGTTCTTTTCCCCTCTTCAAATGCTCTTTCTGTTCTGTCAGCATTGTCAGTATATGCGGCTACCGTACTGTGGAAAGTAATTCTATTATATGGCAGATAAAACAAGGGGATATGCATCAGATTATAAATAACTTAATTTTGCAAAGGAATTTTACATCTTAATCTGCTGGACTATCACTTTCACTTAGGCTCTGAAACCAAATTATGTTATTGTGTTCTGTGATATAATTTAATAACTCACCCATAAGGAAATGTCAGGTCGCATTTGCAACAATCCAGGGGCCATTAAGCCAGATGGAAGGTCATTCTGTTTGAGGATTGTAAATGAACCTGTCCAACAAAGTTTTGGTTAGGGACAGCCAAGGACTCATTATGTAGTCAATTTACCCAACTGCTTGCAAGAACCACGCCAATGCCAAGGCTGTTCTGTCCTTTGAAGTTTGAAATGAATTTGAACATACAGGGATTTTTTTACTTTCATCAGGCCAGAAAGGAAATTGCTTTTGCAAAATGCAGTCATTTCCATATATTGCTTAGAACATTAGAATAAAAATTAAATGAATTGTTGGAATGCTACTTGTGAATTTTTATTTTTGCCTTATTTCTTCTTCATTTTCTCTTTCCTGTCTAAATGCTGACTTTTCTTGGTAGTGAGAGAAACACACAGACACACACACATGCACACATGCGTTCATGCACACACACAAACTCACACATGGATGCAAAAATAAATTGGGACAGAACTGTACAAAGGAATATATGCATTTGAAAATTAAAATGTTTTTGTTAAAACAATTACAATATCTTTTTTTTTTTTTTACTTTTTGAATTACTTCGTATAACATGAAGTTAAAAGCTTTGATTATGTACTGTATATAATTTAATGTGAATACTCCAATATGGATAATTCAGTATCAGTTTTTATTTAAATTTTTAAAAAATGCATATAAAAAAATCTACATGCCTCTAATGATGTTGCAGTTTTTCCCTATAGGCAAGAACACAGAAATAGCTAGCTATTCTATTAAAACATGATTTTACAATTAGCATATATTCATTTTAGAAAATGAAAGGTAGTTAACAAATTTATCCATAATCATATATTTTTATTTATCCATAATCATAACTAATATTTTAAAATTATTTTTGTGTATTTCAAAGCACATTTTATTGAGTTGGGTTTACAGACCACATATATTACCAATCCTCATTATTTGTGGATTCCATTTTCTATAAATTTATTATCTGACTAAAATTTACTTACAACCTCAAAATCAATACTGGCAGTTCTACTGTAGCCAGTTGAAGACATGTGTAGAACATGAGAACATTTAAGTCAGCCATCATGTGTGTTTTCAGCTGAGGTGGAAAAAGTCTATTGTCCCAGTTCTCATATGAAGATATCGAAAAAGTTGAAGAAATTTAGGAACAACATAGTAAAGGACAAGGATCTCCAGCAGGGTTTGAATTCCAGCTCTGGAATATATTAAAGGAAAATCTTCACAAAAGTCGCTCCACACGTCTGAACTCATCTGTAAAATAAAGAATATAGAATCTTCATGAATGGGTGACTTTTAGGATTTAAGATTATGATCCATGTGAGATGAGAGTGGGATATTCCCCTGGGAACAATTGTTTGGTACTCGGTAGTTCCATGTTTGCAGTGACTTTATTTAACATGAATATCATGAATAATGAGAATCAACTATCTATGCGTTTCCTTATAACTATGATTATGAATATATGTGCATGCTATAACATAGAGAACAAACTGAATGTAGGTTTTTGTTTAGAGCATGGATATCTTCACATGTTGATAATTTTATTTCAAAATATTTGTAAGGTTGCTTTTAATATTATTCTGTGCACATATAAGATTTTTAAAATTTAGAATTCTACTCTAGATAGCTGTTTATTTGGGTTTTCAAGTTCTTTGTCAATCTTAATAGTGATGAGTACCCATATACAGAAATAATTGGACTTTTATGATAAAACATTAGTATTGGACTTTTAAAATCAGCTGGGGAAGCAGAAATTTTATCCTTTTGGAAATATTATAATTATTTAGTAGTTTAGTTGACAAAGTTGGATTTTTCTCTCTGCTTCCAAAGTTCAAGCATTGTTTTTACATTGTTTCCCTATAAATTTTTCCTATATTTTCCCTATAAATAGGAAGAAGGATGCCTGAGTCTTCTTTTGGTATGGCTCCATAGTGGAACTGAAGTTCAATTAAAAGGCAAGAAGAATCTTGGGATCATATGAAAGTGCCATATATCAGAGAGAGGAAAGAGAAAGAATTACAGAGGCTCTCTTATCTGTTCCAAGCAAAGCAATGAGGGTAGTTGCGGAAACGTCCTTTGTATCTTGAGATTTTAGAGCTCTGCTGCAAGCTATCCTGTGGAGATCTTCACTCATTGTACTTAGCCACACAACTCTAAAAGATAGGTCTTAGACTGCCAAATAGAGGTAATGCTTATGCAGGATATGGACCAGGCATTTCATAATCAAGCACTGCATTTGGGATTAGAGGCACATCAGCTGTGTCTCAGAGTACATGGAAACCCAAAGCTGAATAGTGTGCTGAACGTTAGCCATTTGGTCCCTGGGTACTGCTTCCAATTCTGAAAATATTTAATTGGTTAAACTTGAGAAAAATTGGGCAGGCATAGTGGTTGCATGTCTGTAATCCCATTGACTCGGGAGGCTGAGACAGGAGGATGGCAAGTGCAAAGCCAGTCTCAGCAAAAGTGAGGCACTAAGAAACTCAGTGAGATCCTGGCTCTGAATAAAATACAAAATAGGACTGAGGATGTGGCTCAGTGATTGAGTGCCTCTGAGGTGAGTTCTATCCCTAGTATAAACCTCAAAAAAAAAAAAAAAAACCTGAGAAAAATCTTTAAGTATTTAGATTAAATGTTAGTTTTAAAGATTATTTTATGTTATTTTTTTAAAGCATGTTCCTTTATAAAGTGTTAATGAAAGAAGCCATACACTGCTTTTACCAAAGGTGCTTAAAACAAAAGGTCTTATTTCAGAGTGGGTCAACAATTTCATCTTGTCTCCATATTTTATTTGTTCCTTACATTATGAAACAACTAAAAAACCCCAGAATCTTGATGTAAACACAGTAAGGTTAATCTACCCTCTTAGTATTAAACTTGTTATTTTTCCCTAGTTCCCATCTTAGCCATTTGCATCAAATACAAATACAAAATACAAACAACACGAATACAAAAAAATAAATACAATGAAATGATATTATATTATTAGAATATTATTATTAATAATGTGATTAATACATTGATAATGTCACAAGGACCTAGAAACCATAGTTTATGTGTTGCCTACAGAAAATGGTGGAATAAGTATATAATCAAATTATTATTATAATCTATTATGTAAGATTTGATTTCTATACTCATATACAAATTGACAAACTTCCTCCTAAATTACAAAATAAAACACAAAACTGCACTATTGACTATAAATAATAACTGCATATAAATAATAACTGCATATCATTATGTTTCTGATTAATGATAAGTATTAGTTTGCCAAATATTATTTTGTAACATGAGCAGTGGATAAAGGCTGTGTTGAAGCTTAGACATATTTCATCTAGAACTTATGGGATTTGAAACTATGATACTTAAAGATGCAAACCAGTAGAGGGGTTAATAGGCCTTAAGTTGCCACTTAGTGCTATTGACTTTGTTATCTTCATTAGAACAAAGATACTTGTTGATTAAAAATCTTTTCCTAATGTCAATTATATCTGTCAGGATTCAACTAGAAAGCAGAATCATCAGTAGGATGGATATATATATATATATATATATCCCTGCATAAATGAATCTTTAGGGTACGTAATCAGTAGAGAAATCTACAAATGAGACAAAAATCTATTACTTACAGCTAATATTCTCTCAAGTTAAGGAAATCCTAAAACTATTTGGAAAGAACCTGCATCTGATTAAATCAGACCCACCTAGAATAAACCTTTTGATTAACCTAAATATAATTCATTAGACTAAATCTCATCTGAAAATCCTTGCAAAGCAACAAGTAAATATAGTTTGATTGAATAAGTAGGAAAAAGTATATACATGCTTCAAAATGACAGATTGTTTCAATTTCTGACTCTTTCAAGAAATCATTCCTTGCATCTTAATCAAACTTTGAACATACCAGTAAGGGAATTCTGAGAATTTTATTATAGACTAGCGAATTTGACACATGGAAAGTCATCACAGTGTGCCACTGTCAACTTGACACCCTATACAAATCTCTTAAAACCATACTGAATCTACAAATAAAGACAATAAGAGTCATACTTCCACTAATACTCTTTAACTACTCCCTGCTCAAAGACAGACTGACCTATTTCCAGGAAAGTAAATTAAGGCTTCAGGTTATCATCCTTCTCCTTATATATCTTATAAATTAGATACTGAGATAAATGGTGACAGACTAAGAAAAGGAAGAAAATATTTGTTTAATATATATTAAAACATTCTTATCAAAATAAATAAGAAATATCAGAATTATTGTAGCACTATTTCCTGAAGCTGATAAGACAATTTCATTAGATTAAATAATCACATTCTTCCATTCCATTTTATATTCCCTTTTCCCTCTGCAAATATCTCAGCTGGCTATAGTTTATTGTCCAGTACAGTGATCCAAACATTATTCCATAATGTCTGAATCACTTGTATCACTGAATATTTGGAAGAATTAAAGAATACATGTTTTCTTACATGGGGAGTACCTTTTCCCAGTGAATACTCAGTCACCATGTTATCTGTGTGATACTCTGCATACTCCTTGCCTTTACATAAAGACCTTGGTAATGTATATGCTATTATAAGACAATGAAAATTGGAAACAATTGAGTTAACCATTTACTAATATCTAGTTGCTTTTATTATTATGGAGAACTTAAAAATATGGCCATGGAAATAATTGACAGCCAAGTTGCCATTAATTCTACATTAATTACCATTGTCATATATTTCCTCCTATTTTTTATATTAACTCTGTTATAGTTTGGTATAAGATGCCTTCTGAAAAGCTCATGGGGTAATGCAGGAAAGTTCAGAGGTGAAATCATTAGATTATGACAGCTGTAACCTAATCAGTAGGTGAAACCTTTTGATAGATTTATAATTTCTGTGGATTACTGGGTGGTAACTGTGAGCATGTGGGTGTGGCTAGAGAAAGTGGGTCACTATAGGTTTGCCTTTAGAGATTATATGTTGTCTCTGGATTGTCCTTTTCCTCTTTCTGCTTCCTGGCTCCCATGAACTAAGCACATTTGCTACATCCCACCCTTCCGCCATGATATTATTCACCCAGAATAGTGAAGATGGACTGAACCTCTGAAATCATGAACCCAAAATAAACTCTTCATACTTGAAGTTGCTCTTGTCAGATATTTTTATCTTAGCAACAGAAAGTTGACTAACACAGAAGTAGAGTTATTGCTGTGACTCAACTGAAACTTGTTGTGGTCCAGAAACTTTGAAAATGGTTTTGGAAAGGATTTGGAAAAGTCGAAAGATGCAGTTGAGAGGAACATTAGAATGTTGTTAGAATGGGTGATTTTAATGAGAGCTCAAAAAAAAAAAAAAAACAAACATAATGCTATAGGGAATGTGGGCAAAAAGACTGTGCTCATGAGATTTCAAATGGGAATGAAAAAAGCGATTGACTAACACATTTGGTGGAAGACATTTCAAAACAGAACAACATTAAGGCAGTGACATGGGCATTGATGGCAGCTTTTAGTCAGGTTTACGATGAGAATTAGGAGCAGAAAGTTGCCAGAATAAATTTGAAAATCTTGCAGCTTGGTCAGAAAATACATGTAAAATTGGAGCCAAGGTTGGTAGTTGCTGAAGAGATTATTGCCAATAAAGAGAAGCTAAGTACTTTGTACAGAGAAAAGAGAAGACATATCTTGAGGGTTTCTTGACAATCAATAAGATCATGCCTATAGCAGGCCAAAGGGTGTGAAAATAAAAGCTTATTTGATAATAGATCTTGGGTGGATACCCTTGAACAGGGGTGCCTACCTAGATGTTTTCCCAGGTTTTGTCCCATAATGCTCTGCTACCAACCTACTCAAACACCACTACAGTTATGGTTCTAGACTTCTGGTTATTGCTCAAGCTTGCAATAGACCTTGGCATCATTCAAGTGGTGTTGTTTCTGCAGGAATGAGGATGCTGGAGTTAAGGTATCATGGAGGTCTCTAATGAGATTTCAAAGGAAGGTCTAGGAAGCCAAGCCAAAGTGTAACAAGGTCAGAATCTCTGCAGGAAGCCCATAAGAAAGTGATGTTTGAGAAATATCAATTCAGATAGAAGATTTGAATCACTGGCATAATTTACAATTCCTAAAACTCACTATTTAAAACTGTTTTCTAATTACAAAATAATTCAGGAAAACCACAAATTTCCATTTTAAAATATTAATTAGCTTTGCTTTTTAAACAATCCTGAAGGTGTTGTTCTTTACATACATATGC